ACTGCTGTCTTCACTTGATCTTAGCCAAAAGGTCGAGAAGCGATAAGGACTGCTGTCTTTTAGGGTGCCAGATGCCCAGTGTCACCCCACAAATGCTAAGTTCAGCTGGGAAGCGTGGGCCCCACAGAAAGAAGCAGTTATACCAACCAGGGGAACAGGGGCCTTTTAATGAGAGGAACAGAGGTACCCACATCCACATGGACACAGAATGTCTTAGAGAAAGGACAGAGGCTGGATACCAAGAGACAGGGACGGAGCTTACATTACAGACCGGGGCGCGGGGTGGGGAGGGTGGGCAGACAGAGGGGCATACAGGGCAGATTCAGAGCTGGTCAGATGGGGTCGGAGTGACGCCTGGGCACACAGAGACCCCGCAGCTGGCAGAACAGAAGAGGCACAGAGCGGCGGGACAGGCGCGGGGCAGGAGAAGGGGAGTGAGGCGGTGGCCTCCGTGGGGATCTGTCTGTCCATACCGGGCGGGAGGGCTGGCCACCCTGGTGCTGCAGTCCCTGAAAGACGTCCAGATCCTCTTGGCTCTGCAGTAAGGGGGTCTCCTGGGGGCCTGGGCATCCCGACGCCTGCAGTCGCCTCCTGAAACACACATTGCCACCGCTGCCCTGTGTATCCAGCAGCCAGTGACGGGCACCAGGGAGGAACACCGCCTCGGCCCAGCCCTGCCGCTTGCCCCCAGCCCAGCCCTTCCTGTCGGCAGGCGAGGCACAGCCCAGACCCAAACTGGCGCCTGAGGCCTTGGCAAGAGCTGCAGAGCTGGCTGCAGACAAGGGTGCCCCCTGCTGGTCAAATGACAGTACAGCAGTCCAGAAGAAAGCCGGTGTGGATGGGGAGGTGAGGGACAAGCTGTGTTTTCATTCCTTGCCTGGTTTCTGATGCTCACCTTTGCCCTACCCAGCTGAACAGTGCATTCAGAGCCCCTGTCGCCCTCTTCCCAAGGCTAGATGGATAGCACCTTAAAAACCCAAGGCTCAGCTGGCACCACATAAGGGGTACCCAGGGCATCTCTGCAGGCACTGAGTACCCTCTCCCCGCCATCCTCCTCCAGCCCTGCCCAGGAGCTAGAAGCCTGGGCCACTCACCAGAGCTAAAGGCACTTGTTCCAGGGGACCCCGGTCAAGGTGGGCAGACAGGGCTCTTCCATGGCTAGCAGGCCTCTGTGGGGACCACTCACACCCAACGCTTCACACCGACCCCCGGATGTTGTTTCTGACTTCCTCTGTCTTTGGGGAAGTGGTCAGGGACTTTCCAGGGGGCGGGGGGAGAGATGGGCCCCTCTCCCCAAGTGTGCTGGCCTGCGCAGAGCTCTGTATCGGAAGAGCTGTCCTCCCCACCCCCCGGCTGCAGCACTGGAGGCTGCCTCAGCCTGGGACCCAGCACACTGGCAGGGATCTGACCGGGAACGAAGGGAGGGGCCAGGGTCACCGGGGAGACACCTGTCTGGAAGGCGGGGCTCAGCCTCCCCAAGGGCCTACAAGAGGCCTGGAAGGACACGGACTCCAGGTCTCCTCAACTAGTGTCATGCTTCAGAGATGGTTGTCTGGGGGCCCAGCATTGTGGCGCAGCAGGTGCAGATCCAGCTCCCAGCTAAGGTGCCTGGGAAAGCAGCGGAAGAGGCCCGAGTGCTTGGGCCCCTGCACCCATGTGGGAGACCCAGACAGAGTTCCAGGCTCCTGGCTTCAGCCCCGCCCTGCCCCGGCCATTGTGGCCATTTGGGGAGTTAACCAGTGCATAGAGGATCTCTCTCTCCCCCTTTTTCCCCCTCTCACTAACTCTCTCTTTCAAACACATAAAATAGATCTTAAAAAGATGGTCGTCTCTCTAGGGAGATAGTTGGGGTGCCAAGGACACCGGAATATTACTTCCTAGGCTTGAGGGAAGGAGGGACAGAGGGGACCCTGCGGCTTACCTGCTCAGTGGGTCCTGGCCAGGCCCCCAGCTGTGCCTTTTGAAGGGGTCGTAGCCACGGCTATCGGCCCGGAAAGCCCCCGACCGCCGGAGGGGCACTTCATGGAAGACATTCCTCGTCTCCGGCTCCTTTCCTCCCTTGCCCTCTTCCTCTTCCTCCTCCTCTTCCTCCAGCTGCTCTCTGGATTCCACTGCGGACAGAGAGCGGCGAGTGTGGCCCTGGGGCCCCACGTCTCCATCTGCGAGGAACACTTCTGGGACGGCTCTGTTCATGGGAGGCACGCTCAGGCCGGCCTGTGCCGAGAACAAAGGTGATGGTGAGCAGAGTTCTGGAACGCTGGGCGCTCGGAACCAGCAGGATGTCACAGGCAGGCAGGCCCCGGAGCGCCTGCGTCACCCCTCACTTCACTGAGACACGGAATTGGAGCAGGGCTGGCTCAGGGCCAGAAAGATCTAGAACATGGGTCTTCTGGCTCCCAGTCCAGGCTCCTTCCTAGATCAAACAGAACAAGCACCTTGGTGGCAACAAGGCAAGCCAAGGGCAGCAGGTGTTGTTCCAGGCCTTAGTGAGTTCAGTCTAGGGTATGAGCACATGGGTGTGAACACACACACACATGCACACACCCATATGCATCCTTATGTGTGTACACAGGGAAAAGTGATGACCCGGCTGCAGCATGCCGAGTGCTGTGGAAGTCTCCACAGAGGGCTCTGGGCTGCCCACGGAGCCAGCAGAGACTGTGAAAGGAAGTGGAAAGAGGCAGGCAGTCTTGGAGAGCAGCCTGGAGGGCGCGGATTTGGCCAAGGGGAAGATTCTAGGCTGATTCGGGAGGAGGAAGGGAGAGGGTGTTATGATTTCTTCCTTGTAAGCTCTGGTCCTGTGGGAAGTCAGGAAAGCTGTGTGACATATGTCCATGTCACAGAGAGCAGGACTCCAAGCATCAGCCCCATCGCCCCACCCCCTCCCCGGGGGGCCCAGCCCTCACTGCCGCCAGCACTCCACTCCCGGTTTGGTTGGCATCGGGGCTCACCTCGGTGTATCTCAGCGTTAAGAACTCTCAGGGGCTGTTGAAGTTGCAAATGATAAGCCCACTCCAGCAAGCAGCAGCAAGAGCCAGGAGCACCTGGATGGTGCAAAGGCAGGAAGGGAAGTGGCATTTGCTGTGCGCCTCTGGGCACTGGCCCCCATCCACCCCCGGGGGCCGAGGCTCTCCAGCCCGGGGCTGCCGGGATGAGGGTACCAGGCTCCCTGTCTCCCCTACCACTCCCAGCTACTAAAGTGTAAGGAGTGCCCAGGAGGACCAGGAAGCTATGAATCAGTCTGCTCCTCCCAGGCTTTCCCCACGTCGGCCGGGAAGTGCAGGTTGTCAGAGACTTGTCCCTTCCACCTACTTTCCCCTCTCAGCGCACGCTGGCCCCTGGCCCCACCCCATCTGGAGCTGCTGGGAGAGAGTACTTGGGCATCCTCGGGCGACTGTGGGGAGGAAGGGAGAGAGGCGCTCAGGCCCCTGAGGATGGCACATGCCGCTGCCCTCGGGGTGGACCGGAGGTGACAAAAGGAGAGGCCTGGGAAACTGGCCCAGGCCCTGTGCCCACCCATGCCCATCTTCCTGGGAGCGGTGCAGAGGGAACCCCTTGGCCAGCCCCCAGGGGAGATCCTCTGGGAGGGGCAGGGGAGGGGAAGAGCAGGACCTGCAGATGCTCACTGGACACGACAGCGACCCAGGGGCACTGGCAGGGTGTCGCGTGCTCTGGTGTCCTGGGAGCACCGAGAAGCAGAAAGGCCCCTGCGGTGCTGCAGGATGGACTCGGGCACGCCGGGTGCTTCTCGGTGCCTCCTGCCCCTGCCTCAGGAAGAAGGGCGAGCGCCACCGCTGACCTGCACACCGTGCTGTCTCCTGCCCCTCTTCGGCCATCCAGCAGGACCAGCTGGAGTCTGGGCTCCTCTCTAAGGTCAGCCTTTTCCCTGCGTCACTGTCATCCCACTCACCGGCTCCACCCGCTGTAAAGACGACTCAGCGTCGTCCTGTTTTCTGACCTCTGTTCCACATGCAGTAATGCCAACACTTCACACTCTTTCCTTCAAAAGATAAGGCTTATGGGGCTGGTGCGGTGGTCCAGCACGGGTTAAGCCATTGCCTGTGATGCAGCATCCCAAATGGACACCAGTTCTAGTCCCGGCTGCTCTGCTTCCGATCCAGCTCCCTGCTAATGCGCCTGGGAAAGCAGCAGAGGATGGCCCAAGTACCTGGGCCCCTGCTACCCACATGGGAGACCTGAAAAAAACTCCTGGCTCCTGGCTTCAGGCTGGTCGAGCCCTGGCCATTGTGGCCATTTGGGGAGTGAACCAGCAGAAGGAAGATCTCTCTCTGTCTCTCCTTCTCTATCTGTAACTCTTTTTTTTTTTTTTAATTTCTTTTATTTTTTCCTCTTTTTTTGTTTTTGTTGTTTTCTCTCTGTAACTCTGTCATTCAAATAAATACATCTTTTTAAAAAAATAAATAAATAAAAAAATTTTTTTGACAGGCAGAGTGGACAGTGAGAGAGAGAGACAGAGAGAAAGGTCTTCCTTTGCCGTTGGTTCACCCTCCAATGGCCACCGCGGCCGGCGCGCTGCGGCCGGCGCACCGCGCTGATCCAATGGCAGGAGCCAGGAGCCAGGAGCCAGGTGCTTTTCCTGGTCTCCCATGGGGTGCAGGGCCCAAGCACCTGGGCCATCCTCCACTGCACTCCCGGGCCACAGCAGAGGGCTGGCCTGGAAGAGGGGCAACCGGGACAGAATCTGGCGCCCCAACCGGGACTAGAACCCAGTGTGCCGGCGCCACTAGGCGGAGGATTAGCCTAGTGAGCCACGGCGCTGGCCAATAAAAATGTTTTTAAAAAGTTCATGGAGGTGCTGGTGCTGTGGCACAATCCTCCGCCTGTGGCGCTGGCATCCCACATGGGCGCCGGTTCTAGCCCTGTCTGCTTCTCTTCCAATCCAGCTCTCTGCTGTGGTCTGGGATAGCAGTAGAAGATGGCCCAGGTCCTTGGGCCCCTGCACCCATGTGGGAGACCGGAAGAGGCTCCTGGCTCCTGGCTTCAGATCGGCATAGCTCCAGCAGTTGTGGCCATTTGGGGAGTGAACCAACGGAAGGAAGACCTTTCTCTCTGTCTCTCCCTCTCACTGTCTGTAACTCCACCTCTCAAATAAGTAAGTAAAATCTTTAAAATAAAAAGTTCATGGAAATGGAATTAAAAATAAGTTGGTGCATTTTGAAACGCATGCACTTTTTTAATAATATGAATTTTCCATGAATTTTTTGAAGGCCCTGCATGTAATGCCTATTTCTGCTTCTATCTGGGGCCCTTTTCTCTCTCTCGATGTGCCCACAATAACAATACTAATAGTGTTTGCTGAGCGCCAAGTGCAAGGCTACTTGCATTGCACACGTTATCAGTTATCAGCAAGTCCATCCACATCCTCACCAGGGAGGCGTTATCATTCCTGTGATTTCACAGGCAAAGCTGAGGCTTAAGAAGGTTGGGCAACATCCCAAGGTCATGTGGCTTTTGAAGGTGGCGGAGCTCGCAGATACGACGCGCTTCAAAGCCCTGCACCACCTTAAAGGAATTACAGTCTCCGAGTTTTGAATAATGGGTGTCTCCCGGTGTTAAAATCCTGTGTTGCTCTTTTTTTTTTTTTTTTTTTTTTTGACAGGCAGAGTGGACAGTGAGAGAGAGAGGCAGAGAGAAAGGTCTTCCTTTGCCGTTGGTTCACCCTCCAATGGCCGCCGCGGCTGGCGCACCGCGCTGATCTGATGGCAGGAGCCAGGAGCCAGGTACTTCTCCTGGTCTCCCATGGGGTGCAGGGCCCAAGCACCTGGGCCATCCTCCACTGCACTCCCAGGCCATAGCAGAGAGCTGGCCTGGAAGAGGAGCGACCGGGACAGAATCCGGCACCCCGACCAGGGCTAGAACCCGGTGTGCCGGCACCGCAAGGCGGAGGATTAGCCTAGTGAGCCGCTGCTCCAGCCTGTGTTGCTCTCCTAAGACTCAGTAGAAGGCCTAAGAAAGTACCGCTGACCAGTGCATTTGGCGAAGGTTAAGCTCTTGGAGGAGGGGACCCGAGACACTGCTGGTCTCGGTAACGGTGGGAAACCATGGGACACAGAGCAGGAAGACAAGTAAGGGACTTCCTAGAGCCCCTTCCCCACCCCCAGCCCCATCTCCAGGGAGCATCTGGTCCCACACCTATTTCGGAACCTCCTATCTCTCAGCAGCGGAAGCAGTGATGTGACATTAAATGTGATCTCATTCAGGAGCTAAATAAAGCTGCTTGTGAGACCCAGCCCGGGCCGCACCCTCCCAGGGTTTCCTGCGGCTTGGGAGCCAGGGGAAGATGGGAGGAAGGCAAGGGAGAGACTGGTGGGAGGGAAGGAGGGGGAGACCGCTCCGTGGGGGCCCCAGCTGGGATGTCAGGAGATGGAGGAGGGAAGATCTCTGGCAGGGGGTTGAGGCCACCTTGCTAAATCTCATCTCTTTGTTGTTGTTGTTTTTAAAGATTGATTTGTTTGTTTGTTTGAAAGGCAGAGTTACAGAGAGAGGAGGGGAGGGAGAGAGAGAGAGAGAGAGAGAGAGAGAGAGAGAGAGATCGATCCTCCATCTGCTGGTTCACTCCCCAAATGGCCACAACAGCGTGGGCTGAGCTAGGCTGAAGCCAGGAGCCAGGAGGCTCGTTTGAGTCTCCCACGTGGGTTCAGGGGCCCAAGCACTAGGCTCATCGTCTACTGCTTTCCCAGGCGCATTAGCAGGGAGCTGGATTGGACGTGGAGCAGCTGGGACTCAAATGGGCACCTATGTGGGATGCCGGCACTGCAGGCAGCAGCTTAACCTGCTGTGCCCCAGCACCGGCTCCTTATTTTGAGAGTGAGAATAAGTAACCCACAGGCCAAGACAGACACAACTGTGGTGGAGACCGGTCATCATGAGTGAGTACCCAGAGCAAGAAGCAGCTGTCCTCTGCGGAGAGAAAGGAGGGGACAGAACAGTCTCTGGTAACTTAGAGCAGGGTTCACAGACGCTATGACCCGCGGGGCACATCTTTCCTGCCATCTCTTTTAACTGGTTGGGGAAAAAAAATCATACTTTACAACACAGAAAATTAGATGAGATCAAACTTTGTGTCTAGGGCCAGCGCTGCAGCGTGGTGGGTTAAGCCGCCGCCTGCAGTGCCGGCATTCTATATGGGCGCTGGTTCAAGTCCCGGCTGTTCCACTTCTGATCCAGCTCTCTGCTAATGTGCCTGGGAAAGCAGTGGAAGATAGCCCAAGTGCTCGAGCCTCTGGACCAATGTGGGAGACCCAGAAGAAGCTCCAGGCTCCTGGCCTTGGATTGATGCAACTCTGGCTATTGTGGCCTTTTGGGGAGGGAGCCAGCAGATAGAAGACCTCTCTCTCTCTCCCTCTCTCTGTCTATAACTCTGTTTCTCAAATAAATAAAATCTTTTTTAAAAAATTAAAAAACTTTGTGTCTATAAATAAAGGGTTTTTTTGGAACAAAGCCTTACTCATTCATTTACATATTGTCTTGGGCTGTTTTTGCCTTAGCAGCAAAGCTGGTAGTCGCGACAGGGACCGTATGGCCTGCAAAGCCAAAGATATTTATTATCTGGGTCTTTACCAAAAAAGTTGGCAGGCTCCTGGTCTAGAGCCACTGGGTCTCCAAATCTCAGTGGGGAGGAGAGAGACATCAAGCCTTGCGTTCCCAACAGCATTCTGCAGCCAGTGTCGGGGAGGCGGGCACACGGAAGCCCCAGCAGGAGTGGGCATGTGGCCTAGTGCTCAGGCTGTCCATAGCCCCTGTCAGAGTGCCAGCTCCGCTCCCGATCCCTGGCTCCCACTTCTGCACGTCTTGGAAGGCGGCACACAATGGCTCAAGTGATTGAGTCCCTGCCACCCGCAGGAGACCTGGATTGAGTTCCTGGCTCCCAGCTTTGCCCTGGCCTAGCCCTGGCCATAGTGGACATCTGGTGAATAAACCAGAAGATGGAAACTCTCTGTGTGTCTCTCCTCTCCATCTCTCTCTGTGTAACTCTTTCAAATAAGTAAATCTTAAAAAAAAAAAAAAAAAAAAAAGGAAGCAGCTTCCAAAAGAAATTAGATGGAGGTTCCAAAGAAGTTAAATTTGTCCATTCTACTCCCTCTGTTGTCTTAGAAATCTGAAGGAGGTATGGGGCAGGCAGGGCCCTCGGTTATGTTTGCTGCCAGCAACTACTGAGGCTAGGAACTGCAGATAGCAACCAAACAGCGGGCTGGCCCCGCGGCAACACTGCCGGCTCCTTAGCAGCCTGAGGGGCTTCCTGCAACTGTGTCTCGTGTCCACCCCGTGTCCCGTGTCCTGTGCTGGATCCTAAACCTCCTGAGGGTGGGCAACAATGGAGAAGACCCATAAGCCCGGGCCGCAAGGCCGAGGCCAGCTGACGTGTGTGCTGGCTTCTCCTCCGGGGCTCCTGGCCCTGGTAGCACAGGGTCACAGGAAAGCCTTTGATGGTTCAACGTTTAACCTCCCGTAGCTTCTCCCCTGGGAAGTGAACCATTAATCCGAAGAGAGCTAACACTGAGCTTCTCTTGGCCTCAGCAAAGAAGGCCCTTGGGGGCCCCGTGCCTGCACGCTCCTGCTCACAGGACAGCTCCGTGCACGGCAGCAGCGCCTGAGCTTCTGCCACCTCCCGCCACCCCCACCCCCACCCCCACCCCCACCCCCGCCAGCTGGAACGCCGGGGTCCTGGAACCCATTCTCTTCTCTGACATGCAGGTCTATGACAAGAAGGCAAAGGCTCCCCTCTGGGACCCATTCATTCAGCAAACATCACTTCAGCATCTCCCAAGTATGAGGCAGAAGAAAGAGGAACCAGAGGTTCTACATGCAAATCCAGGCAGGGGCCAGTGCAGGCGAAAGCCGCTTCCCACATCAGCTTCTGGGTTGAAAGCCATCCACCTGCTCCCAGGGCAGCTACCAAGTTTACTATCAGTTCTCAATTCTGGGTGTTCCACATGGGACAGGCAGTCAGCATCTCCAGCCCCCTAACCCAACCACACCCTGTCTAGGAAGTCAGCAATCAGGCATCTCAAACATCCACCCTAAATCACCCCCACCTCGATGATAAAATCAACCGGCCTCACACGTCAGCCAGGAATTTTTGTTGCCTTGGGCTTCCAAGTCTGATTACCTGCTTTTTGTTTTGTTTTGCTTTGTTTTGGTTATTAAACTAAACCCAGGGACTCTGTCCTGTTCCTTTCAGCAGGACCTGTAGCTGTCTGCCGATTGTACCGGGGCTCGGGACCAGCCCAGCCCGTACTACATGGGGGACAGGGAAGAAGGAGGGCCGGGCCAACCACTCCTCTCGAACCTCCTGCCGGTTTCTTGGCATGAGTTCTGGCTGCTGTGCCAGAGGGTGGGGCAAGAGGGCCTGAGGTTCAAGGGACACACCTGAGAAGACTTTGGCCACCTTAGCCCAAGCATTAACCTGTTAGCTCCCAGAAAATAGCAAGGCAGTGGGCGGAGCAGAGAACCCCCAGTCTGGTGGATGACAATCTGGAAGGCCCTAGCTCTCAGGTGTGAGCTGGTGGCTCTTTATATTCCCCAGTTAGCCCCCAGGGATCAAAGGAACCCACGACAGGATAAGAGGAAGGAAGCCCTGGGAGAATTAGGATGTCAGGCTTTCAAGATTCCAGAGACATCCTTAGTGTCTACACCTCCTGTGTGGGAAAACAAGACCAAAAAGAACATAATGGACTTTGCTATGCCATGAACTTGAATCTGAACCCCAGGCCTACAACTTTTAACTGACACAGTTAGTTATTTAACTTCTCTAAGCCATACATTTACTATAAGGATTCTGGTATGTCAACCCCATAGGATTATGAGGATAAAGAATGAATGTGTATAAAGGGTTTAGCATCATTTGCCAAACAAGCTGTGTTAATTAACCACTGGCCATGGCTGTGGTTCCCTATTTACACAGTGTGTACACACACACACACACACCCTAAGCAAACAAGGCAGCTGGGAGCAGCAGGCTGAGTGGAGAAGAGGGGCTCCTGAAGACACCTGCTCCCGGGGAAGACCCGGCACAGAGAGGAAGGCAACTCACCGGACCCGGGAGAAGTCCCGAAGATGGGGCACCTGTTCCTGCCCTCAGGTGGGGACCTCACTACAGGGACAAGTCCTGTTTCCAGTGGTCCCTTTAAGATTCCAGTCCAGCACCTTGATGGGGGGGCCTCTTTCTTGGTCCTGTGAAGGGAGCTGCTCATGGTCCAGGAGTTTGCATGGGAGACAGGGCACTCATTCCAGCGCAGACCAGTGGCCTCTTCAGCTCCGCTAGCCCTTCCCTTCCCCGCCCTACTTCAAACACCCTGGACAGTGCTGTGCACGGGCCTTTAACCCCTTCAGTGCCAGCGCTCCAGCCTCAGCAGGCCCCGAACAAAGGATGGCCACAGGCTCTGGGAGGCTCGTCCCAGGGAAACAGGTGCAGGAAGCCAAAGTGGGGTCATCCTGAGGGCAGGGAATGTGGGAAGCTGACATCCCAGGGCACTTGCCCCTTCCCTGCAGCAGGGACCAGGGAGAAGCTGGGGCAGGGAGGAGGCCTCTTGGGGAGAGTCCGGGGATGGAAGGCTAACTGGCCAGGTCCTCGTGGGGTCAGCAAAGTCCTTTACCCGCTCTCAAATTCAGCTTCAAAGCTGCTTGTTGGTCCCTTTAAGAGGCAGGTTCCAGCAGGACAGGAGGAAAGATTTTTTTTTTTTTTCCGTGTGATGAAAGTTCAGGGAGGAGCCACTGAGGGCAGCTACAGCTGACCAGGCCTGGCCTCGCCTACAGGAACTGGAGTGACCAAGCAACTCCGCACGGCTTGTTGTGGATACGGTCGGTCGGCCTGCAGGGTATTTGACCAACTGCCTCCCCCCACTTCCCTGATAGCAGCTCCCCAGGGTGGGGGCGCTGACTCACCCTCCCTGCTCCCCCCAGGCAGAGGACAGCCAGCGGGGCGAGGTAACTGGTAACAGGAGCCCTCCTCTGCCGGCCAGTGATGTAGTGGAAGGTGCGCGCTGGAGCTGGCAGGTCCTGGCTGGCTCTGCCGACTCACGGGTTACGGGGCCTTGGAAGAGTTAGTCTCCTTCCCACCTCTGTTAGAGCCCGGGTCTCATGTAAGCTCATGTAGATGGTGGCGCAGGAATGCCAGCCCATGGTAGCCGGCATTGAATACACAGGCTGCAGCTTGTGGGGTTAGCTCGAAGAAACCATTCTGCCCTGTCCCTCGGCTCGGTTACACGAGATTAAACTAGGTGATCCTCGGTGGATCATTGCTCTCCAATTCGCATTCCAGGTGAGAGGAAGAGGGCAGCTGCCGCCAGGTGCGCGACCACCGTGCGTAGCCTTTCCTAGCTGGCCGGGCCCATGCTTCTCACTTCCTAAGAACACAGGGAGACGCCTGCCCACCCTGCTGGGGCGGGGCAAGTGGGGCAGGGCGGGGGCGGGGGCCGGGGGCCGGGGACTCTGAAATCCTCCAGTGAAACAAGCTCACCACGGGCCAGGCTCTCCAAGTGGGAGTCATTTATCTGCGGTCCCAGCCCGTGCAACTGGTTGACTTGGGGCTGTACCCGGCCCCCCGGCCCCCATGGCCAGTGCCACCCTGAGCTGCTCTCTCATGAGTTTTAGCCTTGCTGAATTTCACTGACTTGCCCCCGGCTCCCTTTAGTGGAGTCCTGTTTACTTTCTTCAGGTGGAGTTCCAAAACCTAGTATGTAAAGGGATCAGAAACCAGGCACCAGGTTCCTCCTGGTACTGGGGGTGGTGGTGGTGGTGGTGGTAATGGGGTGTGCGTGTGTGTGTGCGTGTGCACCCACGTGTGTGAGCCGATTCCAGCTGAAGGGCCCAAGGGCTGGTCTCCAGGGTGTGGGAGGGCATCTGGCACCTGCTGGCAGCTGGGTTCCTATCTGTGTTGCCTTTCAGGGCGGAGTCTGTTTGGGCTTTGGGCCCTTAATCTCCGGAAAGGAAGCAGGCTCAGGCTGACGTTCCCTGTCCCCTCACAGATCTGCACACAAGCAGCGACCAGGGTCCCTGCCTCCCCAGGGGCCTTTCTACTTAAATGCGCAGGGAGACTGTGCCACTCCTCCTATTAAATTACAAGAAGTCAACAGGGTGCAATCCTGAAGCCAATGATTCCAGCGCAGCCTGTCTGTCTATAGATTTTAGAGGCTCTTATATTCTCCACCACCAGCACTTAAGGGGGGTTCGAATTCCACCCCGGCCTCCAAGGATGCCGATCAGAGAGATGAAGTAACTGGTTTTCTCTTGAACTGCCTCCACAATGCTGCTCTTCTCACTTGGGCTCCCCTCCTGGTATCCTTCCCCCTCAACAGGGGCCAGGATGCAGGGAGCGGAGTCCCGCAGAGAAGGGTGCAGTAAAGACCCCCCGGCCTCCGGGGGAGGAGCCCCTCCCAGGTTCAGACGGAGGAAGAAACCAGTCAGCTTCCAGAACTGGGACTTGGAGCCTGTTGTCCACGCCAGAACCCCCACTCCCTCGGGTTCACTGAGTCACATTTCCGGGGGAGCCTGCACGGATGCACCGTGGTGTGTTCCTGCCCCGAGACTAACATCCCACAGTCCGAGGCAAGGTGAACGGGTCCTACGGGCTTCTCTTCTCTTCCCTGCACCTGTTCTCCACCCGCTACCCTTCCGCCCCCACTCTCCTGGGCACATGCGCCTCCTCACCCTCTGACCTGGCCAGTCCCGAGGCGTCCAAGCTGCAGCCCCTGGAAGAGGGATGTGAGTTGGCGGAGGGCGACTCCATCGGGAGCCTCCCGTTGTCTCCATGTCCTTTTCATCGTCTCGGGGCCCAGAGGCTCCCGCTGCTGGGCTAAGGAAAGGTTAAACCGGTTGGGCAGGGGAGCTGGGGGAGCAGAGTCTGAACTGGGAAACCCGGTGGCAGGAACAAAGCGGGCATTTGTTGGGTCTCCCTCCCGCCGGGAGGCTGTGGCCGGACCACGGCATTCCTGGGTCGGACAGGGCCGGCTCACAGCGGCTTCTCCCCACTGCTGCTGCAGCAAAAGCCTCTGTCTTTCTAGGGCCCAACCTGGACGCCCAGGCCCCTCTGCCTGGGCTGAGCTCGAGCCACGGGGACCGAGAATAAACTCAAGCCTGAGAGGAGGAAAGTGAGTTCTCAAACAGCGACAGGGCCAGCGTCACGCCTGAGCGCTAGCTTGTCAAGGGAAGTCTGTACGAGCAGGCCGCTGGCACGGGATGCTTGCGTCCCTGGTTCAGGTCCCGGCTCCACCTCCCATTCTGGCTTCCTGCTTCCCTGGAAAGCAGTGGTGATGGACAAAGTACTTAGGTCCCTGCGGTGTGGGAGACCCAAATTGAGTTCCTGTGGGCATTTGGGAAGTGAACCAGCTGATGGAGGATCCCTGTCTGCCTTTCAAAAAAAAAAAAAAAAATCAATCAATAGAGTAGAATGGCTCGCAGGGCCTGAGAGCAGCTGCTCCCCTGCGGGCCGCCCTGCTCCACCCGATCTTTTCTAGCTGTTCGGGGCAGCTGATGGACAAGGCGGGGTAGTAGAATATGTGGTGGCAGGCCGGAGCCGCGGCTCACTAGGCTAATCCTCTGCCTGCGGCGCCGGCACACCAGGTTCTAGTCCCAGTCAGGGTGCCGGATTCTGTCCCGGTTGCCCCTCTTCCAGGCCAGCTCTCCGCTGTGGCCCAGGAGTGCAGTGGAGGATGGCCCAAGTGCTTGGGCCCTGCACCCACATGGGAGACCAGGAGGAAGCACCTGGCTCCTGGCTTCGGATCAGCGCAGTGCGCCGGCCGCAGAGCACCGGCCGTGGCAGCCATTAGAGGGTGAACCAACGGCAAAGGAAGACCTTTCTCTTTGTCTCTCTCACTGTCCACTCTGCCTGTCAAAAAAAAAAAAAAAAGTGGTGGCAGACAGGATGATCTTGGGAAGCAGGGACTCCCAAGGGGGCAGACAGCTCTGTGGCAGCAGGACCCACCGCCCCAAGGCCGGGAGGCTGGGCCTTGACTCACTGCTCACAAGGCTGGGTGCCTGGATCCTGAGCACCAGCAGCTCACCTGTGCTCACTCACCCGAGTGACGGCAACAGACAAGGCAGTGTGGCACTTGCTTTTATTAGAAAACCCCACTTGGTAAGCGCTTGCCTGACCCAGGACAGACACTGGGTCGCCTCCCAGAGTCCCACAGCTTCCATTTCCTCTCCTACCCTCT